TCAGCCGCTCTCGGTCCCTCCGGATCCGGCTGCGGGAAGGGGGAAAGGAGCCCTGAGGGCCGTCAGACCAGTGACGGGGTCGCCCAGCCTTTCACTGGGCGTAGGGGAGAAGTGGGGAGCGCTCGGGACTGCTGATGGGTGAGGGGAACCCGCCGCTGCTCGGCGGGTAACTGCCATTGCGGTGGGCTGTGGGGCGGGCTGCGGGCGCCTGGCGTGAGCCCCGTCCTTGCCCGCTCCCCGGAGCTCTAGCAGACGTCGGTGTCAGGAGAGGGACTGGCCTGAGCGTTCCGTCTGAAATTTTCTCTGTTGGCCGGGGAGGAAGTGAACCTTGAATAGCAGTTTTCTGATTGGATTTAGGTTGAGGTTAAGGTGGAAAATGTCAGCTGTCGGTGTTTGAGGTACTTGGGTGATTGTGGGAGTTCTTGTGTGCTTTACAGTGTTCAGGGAGATAGAAGCTTTCTCACAAGCACAGGGTTTGCTGTAAAGTTATATTCACATTCATTTGTAAGTTAATTATGTGGACACCAAGAAGAAGCACTAGCTGCAATAAGTAGCAGCTTATTTAATATTTATGTCTCATATGTCCAAATGCTTGTTTTTCATCCTTGTAATCCAAAGAAACAATGGGGAAACATTTCCAGAGACAGGACTTCCTAACACTCTACCTGTATAGAACCAAAAATCCACACCAAATATAGATATATATAGATTGAAGAGGGTTAAAGTTGGGTTTATACTCAAAGCTTTCCCTCCTCTTGTGTATGGGTGGCCTGTTTGCTTTTCAAATAGTGTTGTGTCTTTGTATTAATGATTTGTTACTTCAGTTTTCAGAAGAAAGTGACTGACTCTCCTGACACAATACTTCGGAATGGGTTGAACAACAGATACCGTGTGTTGGAAGTCAATGTAATACAGACAAATGGAAGTGACCCTGAGAAACACTTGACAATCACAGCATCTCAGTCACTGGAAAGTACAGAACTGTGCATTCTTAGGAATGGCTGGTAATACATACAGAAATGTTGATGTCTGAAAAGGGATGAAATACTGCATTAAGTCAGTTTTCTTTGTCTTACCTTTGAGATGAGTTTTATTGTCTTAAAAGTGATACGAAATCCTGAAATAACCTTTATCTAATGTAATATTGTCAGTATACTAGTGTAATGTATATTAATCTTGAGAGAAGATCTTGAACCCTGAAGCTGCTAAATCAAGCAAAAATATTTTTAGATTTTGCTGAGTTTTTGAAACAAGTAGAATTGTTTACTAAAAAGGTAGGTCTCATGTAATGAAAAAGTAGTTTAAAAAACATAGTGATACTGAAATAGCTCAATACATGGATCTGGAATGACTTCAAGTCAACAGGTTTACCCTGCATTCACAGTCTCCTGATGGATGATCTAGTACTCATAATTATTGAAGTTTTGTCAGTAAAAATTCTTTCATTGGCTTTCAGATTTTATTTAGGTCGACTTCTTAAAAAAGAATCACAATAATCTCCTGTTTCAAAGTATGTTGATATATTGATGTGTAATCTCTAAGGTATTGTGACTGTAGCTTGCAAATGGTTGTTCAAATATATTCTTTTTTAGGGAGTCTGTTCCGGTTGTTCCAGGAGACATCATTCATTTAGAAGGGGAGTGTAACTCTGGTACTTGGGTCATAAATGAACAGTCTGGATACCTCGTTCTTTACCCAGATCTGCTGCTTTCTGGCACTACAATATCAAATAGTATTCGATGTATGAGAAGAGCAGTGCTGAGTGAAAGGTTTAGAGTAAGTGTTAATTCTAGAGCATCAAGTATATCAATGGTTTACTGTTCCATTGAGGCTGGTGGTTTAGCTCAATATTAAAACTGGCTGAGATGCTGTATTGCAAAATGTCTTTACTAGGTATTCATAGTGTTTACAACATAGAATAATTCAGAAAGGACACCCTCTGTCTCTGGTTGAACTTCTTATGTTCTTTCACGTAGTTGTGAGTGCAACCCACAAGTGCCAGGTTTGTAAAAGATGCCAGTAAGTACTTAAACGACAATGATTAGATTTCCTCTTGTTTAGTGGTGGCTCATGCAGAGGTCATAACTTACTGCCACTTTCAATTCTTACGAGTCTACAGAGCCCAGTCCTGGTGATGGTTAGATGGGTTTCTGAGCCATTTTGGTGAAACTGGGAATAATTTTGTGTGAGTTGGTAACACACAGGAAACTGTTTCATGCAAAAACTAATACGTGTAAGATTGTAACTGTAAGTATTTGCATTGGGAAATACTGCTGTTACTACTGCCCGCATACAAAACTTGCTCAAAGTTAATTTTAATCTGTGCATTTGTTTCCCACCTGTCAATCACATAGGAATTGTATCCTAACATTATTAGAATTGTAATAAAAATGAGAGATAAAGCAATAGGAGAGACCCATTTCAATTTGGCTGTTTTCAGTCAGGGTTGAATAGATATTGATTAGTGAGATGAAAGCTTTAATGATATTGCAATTAAATAAGTGCAGTCTATCATGTGCAGCAAATAAAAACCAGAAATTTTATAGAAAGGTGGGCATGAAGTGGGTGTAAATCCTCATGTACATATGTGTTATATAACATCTGTTGCAGGGCTCAGAGTCTGGGTCACGCCAAACACTCATTGGTACAATTCTTCATGAAATTTTCCAGCAATCGGTAACAAATAACTTGTCACAAGAAAAAGTAGAAGAATTAGCAAATAAAATTGTGTATGGACAAAAGTATCTCAAAGAAATGTAAGTAACATCGCAGGTGTCTTATGTTTGGAAGACAGGGTAGGAACACTTGAACTATCAGATCAAGTTCTACTGTAAAAAATGTAGCGCTAGTATTGGGAGAATATTCTGCAAAATGGCCTTGCTTGATGAAACTTGGGTGTCTTTTAGTAGCATAATTCCATGTTTCATAATATAATTTAATTTGCCTTCCCTGCTGAGCTAGTTCTGTAGATCTGCACTATGCTTCTGGAGTAACTATATGTGTAAGATTTTTTTCTTTCAGGCAAAGCAGGTTGGAGTGTTTGCCTGTAACGTTAGATTTCCAGTCATCTCCCAAAGCTGAGTTAAATATGACAAGCATGATTTAGATCCTCAGGAAATGAACTAGAAACTTGTGACTGACCAAGCATTGAGGTGTCTGATATTTTCATATTCTTTATCAGGTTGCTTAATGACTCAGTTGTTAGAGGACCTTTAACTGATTTTCTCTGCAAAGCTGATAGGAATGCTAGCCAAATAAACAGTCTTCATATTTCCATCAGAAAATGGCAAGATGAATGGCTGTCGGTTTTAAGACTTTACTGCAGACTTGGTTAAAGTCCGATTCATGTGAACAATTATTATACCTAGAATATTATAAATTATATGTTGGGCAATGTCAGTATATCTTAGCCCCAGATAAGCTGGAAGTTAAAATTTTAACAAGATTTATTACTTTAGTTCTGTTATGAAGGTAGGCATTTTGAATTGTGACTGCTAATATTACTTATAGGCTTTTGTGTTGCTCTGGGCCTCTTTGAAACTGTTTATTTGTAATTCCTCTTTGCATATGTAGGCTACTATTTGTTGGGATTGAAAAGTAGGTTACATAAGTCTGCTGGCTGTGGTCATCTGCACTTGTGTGAACCTTTTTGTGCAAAACCCACTTGCCTTTATTCTACAGCAACAGAGAAATACATTATTTCCAGTGAATGCCATCACTGAATTATCTAACACCACATGATTAGGTTCTGCTTAATGTGACTTCTGCTTTCTTGTTTATTTGTAACTGTAGCAACTGCAGAGGATCAGGATTCTTTTCCAATTAAAATGACCTGAAGTCTGTCAAAACATACGTGAAGAAAAAGTAGCAGATCAGTGTATTCAGACAAAAAGCAAATGGTCTTTTAATTTTTTAAAAGTGTTTTCAGTTTTTCATAAGGCATAGGAATAGCCATTTTTAAATGCATGAGTCTGGTCCTTTCTTGCAGTCTATTGGTTTTGTTCTGTTACATCTACTGTGCTGACGCTTTTGTTGTGCTACACCTGTAATTTCAAAAGTTACATCAGAAACAGTGTATTCTGTCTCTTGTAATGGATATTCAGTTAGTTTTATGAATTAATCAATTGAGATGAACTTTAATCTACAATTTACAGATGTTTATTAAAACTGGATAGTTATTTCCGTTAATCTTGTTGCTACTTGAGTCAAAATCTTGTTAGTACCAGCAGTAAATTTAATATTTTTGTCTCCTTAACGTGCATGGCTTCATGTTTTAGGTATCACTTAAATCTGAAACAAACAGAAATAATGCAGGAAGTGGAAGAATATTTGCCCTCGTTTTTTAAATGGGTGGAAGAATTCATGCGCAATCCAGCTAACCAAAATAAAATGCAACTAAAACTGTAAGAAGCCAGAATAAAAAATTAAAACTGTACTATGTTGTATATCTTGTTTGGTTCACTTTTAATTTTCAGGATAACACTCTATGCAAATCTGTTCAGTGATACGCAGCTAATTTGTGGCCTCACTGACAAAATAGCTGATCTTGAGAGCTCTGTGTTTAGCTGCCATTGTGAGTACTGGGGAAGACATTAAGACTGAGGGTGAACTGACAAAAATCTTATTGGTCTTAAAATCTTTTTAAACAGTGTGGTACAAAGTAGAAAATTCAGTAGCTAGAAAAACAAGCATATTTGTACTACTGACTAAGCTAGAAGTTACTGTAAATATGTGCAAGACTACAAATTGGAATGTGAAAATATTTATTAATCAAATGTAATTCTTCACTAAGATAACAGTTTACCAGTGAAATGGTGATTTTACTCAGCTGCTGCTGAGCTAGCTCCTTGTGTGGCTTTGTGCTGTTGATGGTAACAGCCATAGGATGTTAAAGTTTCAGTGAAATGGCACGTCTCAGTAAAATCTGTATGCTACTTTCCAGTGTGTATTATTAAACTTCTCAAAGAAACAAAGTATTTTACAGTGTGGTTATTCAGAAAAGACCTAAAACCTATTAAAAACTCTTTAAGATTTTTTTTTTTAAGTTTGACATTTAGGTGAATAGCAAAACTACATGCCAATGTGCAATTTAAAGTAACTTTTTTATAAGATTCTTCTTTTATTGATGGGAAGATAGTTTGAGTGAGACTTGGTGCACTTTATTTCCAAAGTTAGGGTCTAAAAAGCACTTTAATGCAAAAATATTAAAAATTTAATTACAACACATTTCAATATTTAAATATTAATAATTAAGGGAAAATGTTAACTTCTGATTTAATTTTCTTCCTAGGTCAAGTGCTGAAAAAACAGAAGATATTTCTTCTAAGATAGAGATTGTAGATATCTTAGACATTGAAGAGAATATCTGGTCTCCCAGGTTTGGGTTGAAGGGAAAGATTGATGTTACAGCCAGGGTGAAGATCCATCGCCAGTCTGGAGTACAGACTAGGATAATGCCTTTGGAGCTCAAGTCTGGCAAGGAATCCAACTCCATAGAGCACAGAAGTCAGGTACAAAACCCAAATCTCTAATTTCACTAATTTCAGAGGCTGTGTATACTTAAATTAGGTGACCTATTTTGTCTTATGAATGTGGAACACTTGATTTGTATGTGGTGTGATCTAGATTTATGGCTGGGGAATCCCGGCATGCCCAAAGCTGCTGATACAGAATAGAAGTGAACTGAGGAGTAAGAAGTACGTGCACTTCGACTTTCAAACACATAGCTTTGATCCTGAAATATCTGTTCTTTAGTATCTTCTTACTACATTCAAGTATTAGGTTGAAGCAAATTGCTTCAGGAATTAATGTCATAATCTTTCTAGATAGCTGGCCTGATCTAGAGGTAGTAACCTTATAAGCTTTAGTTAAGGAAGATGCCTTTAATCAAAATCCTTGGTTAGGTGCTTACTATTTATGGCTTCTAGATTACTTGTGATAGTAATGGCTGCTTAACCATATAAATTATGGAAAAAACAACTACACCTTATAATGTATTTTGTTTTTAATACATTGTAAGGAGTTTATATATAATGTTTGCAGGTTATTCTGTATACATTGTTGAACTTAGAACGGAGAGCAGATCCTGAAGTTGGATTTCTTCTTTATCTCAAAACTGGTACTATGTACCCTGTTTCTGGAGCTCGCATGGATCGAAGAGGTAAAGTTGTTCTCCTTCCTCAGAAACCATAGTTATCTTAATTAAAATGAAACATTTTAGTAATAGTTTATAAGGTTTACTCTCATTAATGTATCTGTACCTAGAGAAGTATCACTTTTATAATGTTACTAATTCCAGCAAGATTATGTTAAAAGCTTAGTTGTTTTATTAATACTCCACTAGGACTTTGCTGTATGACTTCTTAGCTGACTAAAAAGTTGATGGCTAGTTACTTTTGAAATTATTACAGACAAACCCAAAAACCTCATCTTAGTTTGTTCTTTTCTTGACAGAATTAATGAAGTTAAGAAACCATGTGGCCTTCTACTTAACACACAGTACACATAAATCTGCTGTGGGAAGACAGATTTTGCAGCTTTCTGCTTTGCCTCCTGTAATTGATGACAGTCAAGCCTGTAAATTTTGCTCCCAAATGCATAATTGCTTTCTATACAGCAGGTAAAAAAAGAAGTTTGACCTGTGTTTTTAAATAAGCATAAATAATTGTAGTTTTTGGTACTGTTATTATTGTCTTTGTGGTTGTCAGTTTCTTATGTCTTTATTGAGGACTCTTGCACTGCAAAAGAATGTTCTATAGACCCCCCTGCAACTTTTATACTGCAGGTCCCTGATCTCACAGAGACTTGATGTGTTTGCTCAGGTACTCCTTCTGCTAGACAAAGTCCAAGATAAGTCTCAACAAAATAGTTGGTGATAGTAACAGATTTCTGTTATATCTAAGCTAATTATTATTTTAAAAAGCTATATTCTTGCAACTCTTTGAAATGGGCAGTCTTTTGAAGCTGAACTATGTCTGGACAACAACTCTTTCACTTGGACTCTGTACAAGATCACTTCCTTGTAGGGTATCGCACAGGTAATGATACATTGATATTACTCTGCTGAAGTGTTATTTCATCTCCCATTAAAGAGAAGTCACAAGCAAATATTTGTTAAATTTTCACGTTAAGTTATTGAATTGTTTTAAAAACTGTTATAAGTTTTAGTCTTGTCTTTATGCTGCACAAAAAACAGAACCAAAATTGTATATTGAAGAGATCAAATGAGATATGTTAGAACAGGAGAGATTTTGGGGTGATCTTGTGTAAATATAATGCCCTGATTGTTTTTAAAATTGTAGAAGTTGAAGTGTATGTTGAGGGACCTAGCTTTGTGGGCACACGTGATGTGTTTTTGTAAACTAATTTTTGTGATATATTACTTCTAATACTCAGTTGTTAAAGCAACGAGATTGTTACTAACTGCGTAGCTACTAACTTCTGAATTACCTTTTCTCTTTGGGTGCATTTTCTATATGTGATTAGGTATAATGTCTGTTGATATTTAGCTTTTGAGATAAATTGACTTGAAGTCTGCTTAGGTATTAACTATTAAATTCCCTTCACTTAGCTAAATCTCAGTGCAGTATTAATATGTTACAAAAAAGGAATAAATCAACTGTCTAAATATATACAGTACTATCTTTGAAATGTTTTTAATTGGTCTTTGACTAACGTTGTTCTTAATACAAAATCATAGAGATGATGATGTAAAGTTACTAATGGGAGATTGATCATCTGAACCAAAGGATACAGAATGAACTTTATTTCAGTGATGATTAATCTCTTTGATATCTTACAGTATATACTTAGATTAGCATTATGTAAATATAGACTTGCAAGGAAAAAAAAAAAGATACAAGTTGACTCTTTCCTGTGTTTGGCTCTACTTCTAGAGCTGTAGAGCAAAAGATGGCCAGTGTGTCTTTTCCTCCTGCTATGGTACCTGTTATTGAAAGAGAGACCCAGCACCTGAAACCCTCTCACTTAGAGTATTTCAGCCTGTGGTATCTAATGTTAACCTTGGAGCTGCAAAGTGGAGAGGGTAAAAAGGGATATAAAAATATATGGATGATACCTTCTTTGGAAAGGTAAGATGTGATTTCTAACCTGGTACAAATGATGCTCGCTTCAGTAACTGTAAATGAGGCATTGCCCACTTGTGTTTTCAATACAAGGAAAACTAGGTGTTTTACAGTGCTTGTAGAAATAGTCAAATATGCTCCTTGCCTAGGTAGTTTTTTTTGTGAGATGTGACCTGATGGAGACATTAGCCTAATAGATTTACTGGTTTTGTATTTGCAATATGATATTTGTTTTGTTGTTGTTGTCAGGTAAGCAGATAGGAAGCAGCAAACTGCAGCTTCAGTCTTCAGAGGCAAAAGTGGTATAATTCTGTTTCGTCTGTGTTTCTGGGGGCTGAGGCTGAGTGCTGACTATGAGCCCAGCTCATTGTGCTGATTTCCTGAGGGTTTACGTGACAAACAGTGATGTGCTTTGGACCATACTCCTAGGCGTGGCTACTAATGTGGCTACAAGCGGACTAAGGGCTCTTGTTGTCTGAAGTAGCATGTTGTTATACATCACCTTGTCCAGCAGCTGTGGAAAAAATCATTGGCTGTTTGTAGGGCAGTTGCTAGGCATCTGTAGAAGTGAAATGTAGCTGAGTTTTTTTAAGTGAAGCATGCAAATCCATAAGCAAATATGAAACATCTTAATGAAGTGGATCCCTACGTTTCAATATTTGGTTTTTAATTGGAAATTATCTATAATTTTAGCCTAAATATTAGAGTTTGTTCTTGGAGCAAGTACAAGTTTTCTACATATTTTTACAGTCATTTTCTGGTCATAGCGACCATTGTAAAGTGACTGAATCTCCTTCGTTCTTCTTGTGTGTGTTTTGGGTGGGTTTTTTTGTTGTTGCTTTGGGGATTTTTAGGGGTGTGGTGTTGTTTTGTTTTTTTGTATTTAGATTTTGGTCATTACTTGTGGGTGGTGTGGCTTTTTACTTGTCGGTTTTATTATTTCTCTTACTGAGAGGATCTGAACATTAAAATATATTTCTTTTTCTAATATCTTCAGAGAGAAGGCTGGAGACTGTGTTGGAAACATGATCAGAGTTGAAGTGCGGGAAATTTCTGAGGGACAGTATCTACATGTTTTCCAACGCAGAAATGGTGCCATACCTGGAACAAACCTATTGGTTGGTGATCGAGTGGTTGTGAGTGGAGAGGAGAATGGTTTACTTGGTTTGGCTACTGGCTATGTTAGAGAAGTCAGTGTGACAAAAGTCTCCTGTTTGTTGGGCAGGTAATAGAAAAAAAGGAAAAAATATCTGTTTGAAGACACTGTGATACTGGCTTGAGGAATGGTACTTCTAGGTGTCCAAAAGCTCTGACATGTTCTGACTCTACTTGCTGGGCTTGGGGAAGTATGCTGAAGACATTCTCTTATCTTGACTGAAAATGTCAGTACTTGGTCAGTGTATATGCCTGTCTGCTTAGCTGGGTTGTTTGAATAAAAGTATGCTTACAAACACATTTACTTACGTCTCCAACATGAGACTATATGAATGCAGTGATTACTGTGTTAATAGTAACTTTCATTAGTCAGACTATATTGTCTTTAAATTGGGCTCTGATCATGTTTTGTTTAAATAAGTTAATAGTGTGTTTGTTTTAGCTATTGCTTCACTCTGGGACCTCTAGAAGATATCACTTAACACTTATTACTAAGTCTTTAATCATCAACATACTGCTTGTAATAGAATTATTTTGTCCATGTTACTGTCATCCTTCAGGAATTTGTCAAAGCTCCCCAAGAACACAATATTTAGGTTGGATCATGAAGAAGGAGATTTTGGTGTAGGAGTCCCTTTTGAAAACCTTTCTAAATTGATGAAAGATTCCCCAGTCAGGTATGAAAAATCAAATTAATTTCACACTTTCAATATTTCCAGATTAAGTTGCTCAACTGGTAACTCTTGGGTTTTTTTATCCGCAGTGAAAGGCTCCGCAACTTGATAATTGACTTTCACAAACCGTGTTTTATTCAGCATTTGAGCTCGGTCCTTCCTCCAGAAGCAAAGGAAACGGTTGCAAATATTTTAAAGGGTACAAAGTGGCTTTCCCCCAGATCCTGTGTTTAGTAGTACATCTCTATAGCAATGCATTTATCATACTAAATATAAGGGTTTTTTTCCTACTTTGGGGTTCAGTGATAGTTTTCTGCTTCAAAATTGAAAACAAGTCCTTACCTGGCATGTCTTCCTGTGATTAAATTAGTCTTAAACTAGTTGGAGGGCCTGACCAGATAGTTGTTTACAACTTTTTTCACTTTTGTTAGTTGCTGCAGCTTGCAGTTTCAAACAGAGTGCCAGATGATTACTTCTCTGACCTTTATAAAAGGAAGGAATGGGGAAGGCACTTGGGACAGAGGAAGCAGACTTGCAGGGAGTGGGAGGAGATGGGATTTGGTATAAGCATTCACTTACATAATCCCTCCTGCTGACTTGTTGGCTGCTCTGTAGTGTGTGCTTTGTGGCACTCTTGTTTAATAACAAAATTTGTTTAGGTATGTGTCAGTGTCTCATATCTGAAAATATTTCATTGTTCTCTGACATAGTTGTCTGTGAAAACAGAAGTTATAACTGAATTCTCCTAGAGCAGATAGAACTTTTAATAAAAACTCAGTCTGAAGACTTTTATTTTTGCTTGGGCTTTGCCTAGTCCAAATAGCTAGAATGCACTTATTTGCATCAGACTGGGGCAATACAGCTCTGATGTAATGTTCCTTCTAAACAAGTGATGATGTGTGTGCAACTCATTTCCCTTTACTGTGAGCTGTATGAATGTGAAAGTGGGTATGATAAAATAGAAATGCCCATATACGAGATCATATGGAGGTGGTTATTTAGGATATTAGAAAAAAGTCACAAAAGGCCTAAATAAAAATCTCTTTAGAGATTTATTTTTAGGACTGTAGTGTTTACACTGTACTATGTCGCTTGTGTATTATGGTTAATATCATTACTTCGTTAGAACCTACAGACTTACTTTGCTCAATTCTTTTCTTGAAGGGCTTTAAGGGAGTAGGAAACTATAATTTTTGTTTTATTAACTTTTGCAGTTATTACAATGATTATGAAGTGTAAACATTTAATTTTAATTTTTCTTCTTAAAGGTCTAAATAAGCCTCAAAAGCAGGCAATGAAGCAAGTGCTACTTTCGAAAGACTACACACTTATTGTGGGTATGCCTGGAACAGGAAAAACTACTACAATATGCGCTCTAGTAAGATTGTGTACCTTGATGTTTTTTTTTGTGAGGCTTAGAAGATAGCATTAAACAGTGTCTAAAGCACACTGTCCAAAATTAATTGTCATGAGTTAGTCTACTGGTATCTGCATAATTTCAAAGAAGAAAACACATTTCTTTACTTAAACTTATATTTGTTAGAACTAAAAATGTATTTTGTGGAGTAGGATTCTTTTGCCTGTGTAGGAATACATGTGGGAGGGAGGATATTGAAGTGTGATATTTAATCACTTTTTTTGACATTTCAGTGTTAAAATTATTTGGTCCCAAATGTCAGTAAGTCCTTAAATCCTGAGTTAGAGATCAATAAAGGGACTCCTTGGGGAAGCTGGTTACTTGTCCATTGTAAATTTTATAAACTCATGGCGCTGAAGCTATGTGCAGGCTGCTAGCCATCTCCTCTGGTTGGTGGTTCTCTTTCCCCAGAAATGGACTGTGGGAACATATTGAATTCAGGCTGTGGGCTGAGTGGGTCTTTCTTGAAATAGTAGTGCCATCTCCTTTGAGTTGTCACCTCATGGGGAAGGAGGAGGCTGGAGAGCAAGAAGGTGCTGCTGTTATTAGATCAGTTTGTTCTACTGAATTTGTTGTGGCTAAATTGTCATGGAGCTCAGTGCTTGTGGGAATGGGCTGCATGACTTGTGCTTACAGTGGGGATCTTCAGAGTGTAGTTCATTCTTTTCAGTGCAGTTTGCTAGTGTGCATGGATGTTCTTGGCTCTCACTGTTTGCAACATGCATAGTAAGGCTGCTGTTCATGAGAACCATCAGGTCTATTGCTCATATTGCTTCAACAGTAGCTTCCTGGCAGATCTGGCCAGAAAGACTTTTACAAATGAAGTCATACTTGTTACTGGCTCCCTAGAAAACTTGTGGTTTTTTTACTTAATCAAACATGGGATTGCTGATTCTTGTATGTAATTAATAACTTTCTTTCGCATTGCTGTTCATTAGGTGAGAATTCTTTCTGCTTGTGGCTTCAGTGTTCTTCTGACTAGTTTTACACACACTGCTGTAGACAATGTCCTTCTAAAGCTAGCCAAGTTCAAAGTTGGTTTCTTGCGCTTGGGGCGAGCTCAGAAGGTTCATCCAGATATACAGAAATTTACAGAAGAAGAAATTTGCAGGTCCAAGTCAATTAAATCTGTAACAGATTTGGAAGAGATCTATAACAGTCAGGTGAGAAAACTGTTTTGGGCTAGTTCTACAAATAAGGATAATTACATTAGTATTCTGGTTGTTTGGATGCTGCAGAGGAGGAACCCATCCCAAGGATGTGTTAACTGCTGTGAGAAATCAGAGATGAAAAAGATACTTCATTGCTGCATCACTTCAACTTCTTTATAGCCAATAGTGACCAACATTAACAGTCTGAAAGTTGAAAAGCATTGATTATGTCCACACAAAGTAACTTATCGTTGTAAGTCCCATAGATTCCAGAGCTTTTATCTGGGTTCTTATGTGGGGGGTGGTGATTAACTGCCACAACCTCCTCTATCTTTATTCACATAAATGAAGGGATGTTTGTCCCTTTCTCTCTCCCACTTGTTCTTGTTGTGACATTTGTACAATTGGCAGATGGGAAAGAAGAAGTGGTGTGCTGTAGAGTTCACCTTGCTAAACACTGATTTTTGTTGAAAGATGAGTGGTGCCTGTGTGAATATTAATGTAAACCATAATGGGAGCTGTGTAAACTGAGTCAGTGGCAGCTTTAAATTAAATCAATTGAAAGAATGAAGCTTCATGGTAGTCAGAGTAAATGCCAATTTTGCAAAAGCTGTCATTTTTTGTTGACAGGCATTGTAGGGGAATGATTAAAGTCATAACGGCAGTAACTTAACATCTCATATTTTAGTCATCTTGGATTGCAGTGGAAGCACAGTAGTGAGAAGAACTGTGCTGCTGTTTTATATTCTCTTTGGAATTAAAGAACATAAAGCACGTAATTTTCTACAGTAGTCATTTCAGCACACTCCATGAATTGTGTACGCATGGAATCTGATATCACTCTGAACACATGGCAGGAACAAATTATTTACTACAGTCAGCCCTAAAGCTGTTTTTTGTTTGTCACCTGCTGTCAGTGCAAGAATATGTGAGGCCAATATGTATGTAAGGTGTGCTAGTGTGAATTCAAGGATTAATAATTTGATTTATTTTATGTTATGTTTTAGTTTAGATTAATGGGAAATATTTATTTTTTTTCTTTTAACCTGGAAAACATAGTGCTAAATTGTGTAAAATGTGTCTTATCCTTAAAGTATGTCTCAATTTTCAGCGAGTGGTAGCAACATCTTGCCTGGGAGTAAATCACCCCATCTTTGTTCAGAAGCAATTTGATTTCTGTATAGTTGATGAAGCTTCCCAAATAAGCCAGCTCATCTGTCTGGGCCCACTATTCTGCTCCAAAAGGTTTGTGCTGGTAGGGGATCATCAGCAGCTGCCCCCACTTGTACTGAATGCAGAAGCAAGGTAAGATAAAATGCTGCTGGTCAGTTATTGGTAACATGAATTCTGGGAAGGCTCTTGCAATGTTTTGACTGACAGAGTTTTGGTGTTTGGGTTTTTTTGTTTGTTTGTTTTGTAACAGAGATCTTGGCATGAGTGAAAGCTTATTTAAAAGGCTGGAACAAAACCAAAATGCTGTGGTCCAATTAACTGTGCAATACAGAATGAATAGGTATTTTAAACTTTTACTTATTGCATTGAGGTTTTACTGTGGGATTGAAACTGCAAGATTTGACGCCTTTTCTTGTTTTTTTAAATCTTTAGTAAAATTATGTCACTGAGTAACATGCTAGTGTATGAAGGCAAACTGGAATGTGGCTCAGAGAAGGTGTCAAATGCCACTGTGAACTTGCCCAACCTAAAAAAATTGAAACTGGAGCTTGCAGATGTTTCAAAAACATGGTTGAAAGAAGTACTTGATCCAGACACACCTGTGTGTTTTCTGAACACAGAGAAGGTAAAGTTTATGTTCTGCTTTCAAAATTGTCTTTTTGATGCAAGTTCTCAATACAGTCAATGTGTAAAGCTTCATACAGCTTAGGCAGGGTAAAATAAAAGCTTTAAAATATGGTTTTCTAGTTATGTGAAATGTGCAACATGGAAAAATGTTGTTAGTATAGCTGATCAATTGGTATGGTGCAGCTGCTGCTGGAAATATTGCCTCTAAGAGAAGCTGAAAAGTTGAACCCAAATAATATTGAATGTACTACAAACTTTGTTCTCAGGCGCAGAATGTAGCTCAAAGTGTGTAACCCTATTGGATGCCCTTGCAACCACAGAGTGACCTAATTTCCAGGGGCTGAGGGGCAGCAGTGTCGAAGCTGTGTGCCAGCAGATGCAATTCTCCATTGAATTTGCAGACATTCTAGACACTGAAGTGTGAGGGAGGAGAAAGTTGGTTTAGGTGTGTCCTTCTATAGAGACTCAAATTTTTTCCAGAAAAATAGAACTCTAGAATGGAGAAGAATTATGCAAAGAAACCAACTTCTAAGTAAAATGAGGAAGAGTTTAAAAGCATGTGGAAAAAGATTAATAAATCAGTACATATTTGTGGTCTCTGGTACTACTTCCTGTCACTGTAGTTAGTGACTGGATTATGAAGATTTGAGTCTGTCTTCCTCTAACAGGTTTTATGTTGCTTCCTATTAAACTGTGTTTTTGCCAATAATTCTTTCAACTGATGATCCTGATGATCCTGACCACGGAGGGAACTCCCCAAGCTTTTTGTGCTTTCTAGGATGTTCCACAGGATTCTTTTTTTGTTTTAATAACAATTCTGATAGAATCTCTGCAATGATCTGAAAGAAACACAGTGTTTACTTCAGTGACTTAAAGAAATCTCTAAAAATGCCTAAACTAAACAGAGGGACCTTTTCCAGGAATGCGTCAATAGCTGCTACCCCTTTCACAGAAAAGCAGACAGTTGGTCACAGGGAAGAAGTTTGTCCCAATAGGAAATTGGTGGATGCACTGTTCATCTATTAATCAGACCAAAACTGGTAACGTGAAAGCTAGAGTTTCTGTTCCATTTTAATTATTTTCTTCCCTAGAAAGCCAACCTTGAGTATAAGACAGCTGTTCTGTTTGTAGAACCAGCAGGAAATTTTCACTTTCCAAAATACTCTTGGTTTTGTTGAGAGATTAGGCTACAATATCATATCTCTTTTTGGACTTCCTGTCAAAATTTCACATATTGTAGTAGTTGGGGGGGG